AAAAAATAAAAAACAATTGTCTTTGAAGAAATTCACTTTGATAACGTCTACTTTACTTCACGACTTGCTCACGAATAATACACTAAATGTTCATAAGTGCCATCCTAAAAGTGCATATTTTATTCCTGAATAAGCAAAAAATAGAAAGAGATCGGAGATAACTGGAGAGTAATAAATAAATTAGTCATAACAAAACTCACAAAAGTGCCAACGCTAATTAGATACGCAATAATGGATATAGATAGATAGAAACAATTACCAAGTCAGAGATGCTTATAAGCGTCACCCTAAAAGGCCATATTTTATAATCCCAAATAAACAAACTTTACAGCTTACAATACAGAATTACACGATGAATATCAATAAATTGAATGTTTTCCTTGGTTTTTATTAAGTTATTTTTACTGCCCGGATATATTCGAATCTGAACATTTTAGCGACATAAGTTGCGACGCCGACCGTATATATACGGGTCTGCACATTTTGGCCGGTTTTGCACGCCCGTGTTAATACGTTTCTGCGCGTTAAGGGGTTAAAGTTTATTTGGGAAAGATACGCCTCTCTAAGTAAATTTTAATCCGATTGAAAGATCGTTTTTGCAACGTTTAAAATTATAAACAAACTCTTATTTTTTAAATATGAACCCGAAGTCGAGTTTTTAAAAATTCGAGAGAAATACTGTCGTATTCCTCGAACTTTTCTCTACAAAAATAATTGAAGTCACAGTGAAACGTCGAACGTGGTGGTGCTCCCCGTCGCAGGTAAACAGATCGCGCGCTCCGCTGTGACGGTCAACGACCCGAACCACCATATTATTGGAATAAAATGTAAAAACATAAACGATAAGTTTCACAGCCAGCAGAGGACAGCGTCATTTATATACGCAGTAGAATTTTACTAATCCATTCTAGGCCATGAAAAAGTGTCATTGTTAAATGAAAACCATGGAAAGTTGGTGAGTTTATTCCATCAGGCGATGGTCATTTGTAGCTGGTGAATTGTTGGTATTTATGGATTACGTAACCACGCGTGGAAATTACTCAAACATTTTTTTAATTCCCCTCCTTTTTCTGTTTTTGTTTGTTTGTTTGTTTGTTTATGATCGCATCTGCATCATAGGTTATTACGTTATTAGCAATTATTCTATCTGTGGGTTCTACGTACTGAAAAATTGAGAAATCATCTCATATCATATAAAAGGCCTGAAATGTACAGGATTTTCGATCAAAATTAATCATTTTATAAATCATATTCATCTTTTACGAATAAAATGAAGCCTCTTTCAGGCTTCATTCGGCTAATGAAATTTAAGCTTGATCATGTTTACCTCACTTTTTTCTATTCTTAATGATAAGTGAGATATTACAGAGCGCTTAAAATCAATTTCTTTGCATTTCATATCGTTGGCATATTTTCGTATACTTATAACACGTATTTCGTATACTTATTAACTGCTGCTATTACATGGCATTAAACTCTGTTTGAACTCTGTTTTGCTTTCTTCGTCAGATATGGCTATAATAATGTCTATTACAATGATCTTCGTAAATACTGTAATTCTGGCTGAATAACATTCGGACAAATGTTAACGAATACAATTTGAACGAATATTAACCCTTTGCACTCGAAGTTTTTTTTGAGTCATATTATCAGCAACTCGAAGCCATTTTAGTGAAAAGATCATATTCACATGTAAGTTTATGATATAAGCATTAAAAGAAAAGTCATCGTTGTATGTTATTATTTTTTTAATTGTTTATGGATACAAACGTCATTTGTCACCAACAGCGAAACATCCTATAACTAATTTTTACGATTTGTTTTTGTTCTTATGTTAAAAACTGAAAATTATTTGCATTGTCTCCGTAGCGGAGCCCTCGAGTTTGAAGACAAATTTTAAATGGCTCCGCTCCGGAGCCCTCGAGTGCAAAGGGTTAATATTGTGCAAATATATCTCTTCTATCTACATTGTTCCTTTTGTAAGTACAGTAATTTCTCCCTAATTTGCGCTCAGATTGCGCGCAAAAATGAACAATTTGGGAAGAGGAGATGCGATTATAAATAACTTTGTTAAACAGTCTTAATTAAATAACCTTGCGGCTTAAATAACCTTACTGACTGTCAATAACTACAAAAACGAGACGCAAGGCTCGAATAATCGTATCTCATCTTCCCAAATTGTCCATTTTTATGCGCAATCTGAACACGAATTAGGGAGAAATTACTGTACAGTGGAATCTCGATTATCCAGGCTAACTAGAGTGGCACGAATGTTCGGATAATAGAACATTGATTCAGTTACAATGCCAGGCTTCGTCTTTTTGAATTTGTACGTCTTCGTCTGTTTTAATCAGTAAATCGTTGTGCACGTGGGTTGACTTAGATTAATCTAATTACTCGTGAAACATATTTGTACAATAGGGAATTCTGATGATAGAGAGCTGGATAATGGAGATTCGACTGTGTACTGATCATGTTCAAATATTTATTCATCGGAAGTCAAGATCAAGTAATGATTGATGAGGTGATATACGGTACTAGGAAACGAACTTCAGATGTATCGATCGCTGCTTATTGGAAATTAAAAATTCAATGCTGATATTTGCAATATATCATTGTAAAATATCGAATGAATCGATAATGTCAATTAAAATTGTTAATTAAGTGAATTTATAAATTCTGTTACAGATGATTTTGGGCGAATATTTATACGCGAAACACAGCGACACCGAATCCTCCAAAATGTTATTCGGACGAAAAATTTATCCTTGGATATGGAATGCATATAAAAAGGTATGTATTCGTATGTAGCACATGCAGTTTTATCTATTTTCTTACGGATCTTATGCATTTTTTACAAAGACTAAGGTGCTATTTAACACTTTGATCGCCACGCCACACAACCTCAAAGATTTTACAAAATTCAAATATACATATTATCTAATAAAAAAATTAGAAAGTTAAGTTGTGTATAACGTCACTTACTTTCTCTCAACGCTTTTACGTTTTATGGATTCTAATAAAATGAGAAAGATATGATAAATTAGCTTAAAAATTAATTTTTGAATCTAAGCAAACAATTCCGTCAGAGCCATATATGTACATATGGATGACATTAAAGCTGAAGTGTTAAACCAGTAAACAGATTAAAAGAATTTTAGAACATCA